ACGTTCGGTGTAAACCCTTGCGCCTCATATTAACTGCGCTAACCAGTATTCTTTTCCTTGTGGTAAAACCCGGTCTTCTTTGAAGGAATACCCGATTTCACGAAGGTTGCCGCAAGATTGGCATTGGGAGATGAATCTGAAGTGATCCAGTCCGGTCGGATAACAACAATGCAGAGCATCTCCGGAACCGGTGCTTTGCGAATCGGATCAGAATTCCTTGTGAGTTTTTTTTCTTCTATTTTGAATTTTATATAGAATTGCTTAGTCAAACTATCCAAGATTTTAGGCCAAGTACCATCCGACAAAGGTGGTCTATCAGCCCACACCCACATGGGGAAACCATGTTCCAGTGTTCAAGTAAGTGTCCATTATCATCCAGAATTGCGGTGTTGGGTGCATAGGAGGGGCCACTCATGTTCTGACACGGCAAAACCATGTCGTGCTGTATGGGTGGGCGTGTGTCGAGAAACAGTTCAGACATGATGTGGCTTAGCTGTAGATGACCCCTCCTTGGACACAGAGTCCTTGGTTTGCCTAAATAGTGTTCAAAGCTCTAGAATATCATTTTCCAGATTTGCTGGAGTAGACGTGAAGAACTATCGCTACTACGACAAGAACACATGTGGATTCGACGAGGCAGGAGCTCTTGCCGATATCGCTGCTATTCCTAAAGGATCGATCATTCTTCTTCACGCCTGTGCTCATAACCCTACTGGAGTCGATCCCTCTGTGAGTATTTCCAAGTTGTGGGATAAACCGTAGGAAGAACTTTGTTTCTCCTTGAAAGGATGATTGGAATTTAGCAAAAGTTGGCACGGGGTTTGAAATATCCTTTCAGGGTAGTGGTAATTGCGGTGGGGGGGGGAGCAGGGAGGCTTGGAGAAGCAAGACGTGTCGCACGTTGGAGACTCCAGCGAGCTGGTCTTAGCTCCCGTTCCCGCCCTACGGCCGTTTTTTGATTTTTTTCTGAAGATGGTAAGGTGGTCAGGAACGATAGGGGTGGTGGAAAGTGAGTCGTACAAGAAGAGGAAATTTGAAGAGGGGAGGGGACGCATCCTGCCAATTTCCCCTCTCCACCTCTCTTCCCCCCCATCTCCGACGACATGACACGGGCCATGCTAGGAAATACCACGGCACCGCTATGCTACTATGACCCTCCCAACGCCTGCAGGAGACGTACCAGGACAGGGAGCATAGTCGCGCAGCCGCGTGTTCCCCCCCCCCCCCCAACTATATTCTTATCAGTTGCGATTTCTGCCCAGAGGATTACTCAACACGGTTGCTAACGTTTTCAACAAATTGACTTTGTAGAAGGAACAATGGAAAAAGATCTCGGAAATCTGCAAGAAGAACGAGCTGTTCGTCTTCTTCGATATGGCCTACCAAGGATTCGCGTCAGGAGATGTCGATGGTGATGCCTATGCTGTGCGGTGCGTATGACCATTTTCTTGTTCTTCTTCTGTTCTTGGGCGCTTGTAACCTTGGGGGAGGGGGTGCCACTCCTGTGAGCGCTTGTCATCATACCAAACACTATATACGTGGATACAGAACAAACTTGTCAACACCCGTGAGAATCATCATCACCTGTCATGTACCCTGTAAACTCCTGCCGAACTTGTCAAAGTGACTGGTCAAAATTTGTAAGAAAAATGGAGAAATGGCTTCTCGATAATGTTAGTACCATTTCGCCTAGCTTTACAGAAGTTTACAGGTTAGGCTGCGTTTATACTTTGCGGCAGCGTAGCGTAGCGCTTCCAGCGTACGCCAGCGGCAGTGCCGAAGAGAGGATGCATATCGATCTAGCTTCACCAGCGGCACGCTGGCGTAGCGAGGGCACGGGAAGCATAGCTATCGATCTAGCTTCACCAGCGTTTCTCGAGCGTTTCTCCAGCGGCACCAGCGTTTTGCTAGCGCTTGCAGCGGCAGGGAGTAGAGACTATGTGGCCGTGAGAGACGCGGAATCGACGTGTATTGTAGAGACCATGTGGCCGTCGGAGACGCAGAAGCGATGTGCATTGTAGAGACTATGTGGCCGTCGGAGACGCAGAAGCGATGTGCATTGTAGAGACTATGGGCCGTCGAGACGAAGCGATGTGCATTGTAGACTTGCATTGTAGAGACTATGTGGCCGTCGGAGACGCAGAAGCGATGTGCATTGTAGAGACTAAGGGCGAGTGAGAGACGCGCAATCGATGTGTTTTGTACCCTCCAGCTCTCCCATAGTCTCTACTCCCCTGCCGCTGCAAACGCTAGCAAAACGCTGGTGAAACGCTGGAGAAACGCTGGTGACGCTGGTGAAGCTAGATCGATATGCATCCTCTCTTCGGCACTGCCGCTGGCGTACGCTGGAAGCGCTAGCGCTACGCTGCCGCAAAGTATAAACGCAGCCTATGTTAGCACCATTTCGCCCAGCTTTACAGAAGTTTACAGGTAATTGACAGGATTTAAAAGGACTTGCAGGGTGAGACACGATTGTGATGGGCAAAAGAAAATAACAAAGGCAAGGAGGTACATTGACATGCACTCACAGGTGTGGCTCCCCAAAAATATTAGCCCCTTCTTCACTTTCCATTCATGAATATGAATCGGGCTTCCAATGGAATATCGCTCTTTTGTACATTTTCTTTTTCAGTTATTTCATCGAACAGGGACACAATATCTGCCTTGCTCAGTCATTTGCCAAGAACATGGGATTGTACGGTACGCAGTTTCGATATGGCACAGGGTACAGCATTTTGTGAGAACCCAAATAGGGGCCTTACTTGTTTGCTGAGGAGGCACTTCCTATCTGGCCTTGATAGGAATTTTTCCGAGCCACGATGGTAGTCTCTTCCGTTGTTGACTTTTCCCGATTTTTCCCGTTTCATGCGTGCTATATAAATCGTAGTTAGTTTCGTGCCATCACTAAGCTACTCTCGGATTTCTATTTATAGTATTTGAAACTGGTAGATGGAATGTTACGACCTCTTCGCTCCCTCTCCCCTTGACGGCATTTTTTTTGGAAAAGTTTCTGAAAAAATGGTAAGACATCGGCAGGGCATCAGAGCATCCTTAATTTTGCCGAGAAATAAGCTCTGCGGGGGTATTTATTTGTAGGAGTCTCTTTACTGTCCAATATGAATGAGTTTAGCCTTATTTCCATGAGGTCCTGTGTAAGTGGGAGTGTTCCAATACAATACATTTCCATCAGTTTCTCATGTTTCTCAAATCGATGCAGCTGATACTATTCAATTTTAAATTATTCGTAATATTTCAGGACAACGAGTTGGAGCATTTTCTGTGATATGTGAAAGCCCAGAAGGAAGCAGCTCGCGTCGCTTCACAGCTGAAGATCCTCATCCGCCCTCTCTACTCTAATCCACCAATCCATGGCGCTCGAATTGTCACGAAAATTCTCAACAATGCAGCTCTGCGTAAGCAATGGTGAGCTGACTTTTTCCTTTTTCATACAGGAACGGAGAAGAGTGTGGGCTAACATCCTTGTCTGTCTCGGGATGTGTCTTAAAGGCAGGGTCCACGTTCATTGTGTGGGCGGAGACAGTCGAAACATCGCGCCCTCGCCAGAACTTCCTACCGAAGCACGGTGAGGAGGTGGGCTTTGCGAGAAGCGCAGAACTTGACCGTCCCCGCCCATACGATTAACATGAACTGTTTGTTCGAGCTGTTGAAAAATAGTGATTCCTGGTTTCAGGCTTGTCGATGTGAAAGGTCTGCTGGCCAAGGAGGGATCTAAACGCAATTGGCAGCACATAACTGATCAAATTGGAATGTTCTGCTACACTGGAATCAATCCTCAACAGGTGAGACACAGCATTCCAAACTGAAGGGGTATCGGTGACATAGCAGCTCGTATACTTCATTCATTACGCGGCGCTCAGTTTGAGGGGGGGGGGGGGGGGGAAAGACGCGGTAGCGGGGTACGTCTGCTCTACAAAGCTGATGTTTCGCGCTTCTGCAGTCGATATAGCTGTGCTCAGTCGGGGCTTGTCAGCGAGACATGGCTTTGGGCGGCACAGCCTGTTTTCCATCGATCGCTGCGGCTTGGGGCGTTCAATGAGTGGTGGGAAAGGGAGTGGCGCCGGGCGGGAACCCACGCCCCGACTGTCTTCGTGACATGGTTCGTGACAAGACAATCGTAATATGCCGCGCTGGTGGGCGTGACGAAGGACGTCGCTCGCCGTCGCGCTGCACGGACGCTTCCCTGCCTGGCTGTTGAGTACGGGCGTCAAAGGGATGGGAAAATTCGATATCACCTGTTATAGACTCCTGCCTGTGCTTGAATTCCGCACATCCAGAACGTGTCGCGCATGGTTGTACGATACGCCGCGCGCGGCCACGCAATAAATTACGATTGTCTTGACCTCTCATTTTGAAATACAGTGTGCTTACACGCCGCTTGACTTTGTACCCTTTTTGCAAGATCTGAACAAAAGGAACCATGGGAATGCTCCCATGGACCAAAGGAACTCACCAATAACGTTTCAAACGTCATGTTTCAGGTAGAAAAGCTGATCAAGGAGCACTCTGTCTACCTGACCAAGGACGGCCGGATTTCCGTGGCTGGAATCTCGTCCAATAATATCGAATACTTCGCGAAAGCCCTCCATGAAGTCACTAAATAGAAGGCTAACCTCCTCAAAAAGCACAGTCTCAACGTCCCCGTGTTGCCTAATAATTATACCAGTATAATTATAGGTTTTGTAGCTGTATAGTTTGATATGTTTATATGTCACTGTCTGTTCCATTTCGGGCATTTTTACTCGTGCACTTACTAATTGTAACACCTCAGTGCTATTCGGGACATAAATGAGTTTTACAGTACTCCTTTGTGTT